TAAAAAGCAAAAAATATCTACATCTATCGTCACAGCTTAGCCTAAACTAGCCAAATACGACACTCTCAGATGATGCCACAGTTTTAAATCTTATAATAATATTTTATAATTTTACTAATTATAATTAATATTTTATATATTTTTTAGATAATAAAAAGCAAAAAATATCTACATCTATCGTCACAGCTTAGCCTAAACTAGCCAAATACGACACTCTCAGATGATGCCACAGTTTTAAATCTTATATATATTATTTGTACTTCGATTTAAACCTTGTTTATATGCTTTCAGTTGTTAATTAAATTTTAATAATTTTTTTTAAAAAAGAGAAAAGAAAGAAAGAAAAGAAAAGAAACCTCATGAGTGGGTTTTTTTTTTTTTTTTTGTACATCAGAGTTAAAGTAATTAAACTAGAAGAAAACTAATAACGAAGGAAGCATGTCCCCAGTTGATCCCCTGTAAGGATGGACCTTAAGCCACTCGGTGGAGAGCTCCAAATTCTTAAAGCTGGTGGCAAAGAGTGTCCCAAGGAAGCTAAGAAGTCTGCTGCAGCATTCCCCTCTCATAAGTGGGTATAGTAAATCCCTATAAATACCAAAGCCCTCAAGCTCTTCACAGCACAAAAGCCTTCAAGTAGCTATTCGCCCTCTCATGTATAGTTGAACAATGTCAGCTCTACCCTTGGCCCTTCCCTCCCAACCTCAAGATACAACCCGCAAAAATGTCCGTCGATCCACGTCTAGTTATCACCCTAGCCTCTGGAAGGATTATTTCCTTCAACATTCTTCCGATTCCATGGTATTTCATACTCTTCCAGTTATTTTCTATATTCGATTATTACTACACAATTAAGTTTTGTATTTTGAGTTTTCATGGTATCCTACTTGCTTGATTTAATTTCAAAAGTTGAGTCTCTGTGTCTTTGTCATACCTGTATGGCCACATATTCATTTTTAATTAGCTAACGAAACACCTTGGTTCGTATGTATGAATTATTAGGCCACATACATAGTCACTTTCATCGCTAGTACTGTTTCTTAGGAGAATTAAGCTCTCACTTTCAGTTGTTGCTTTAAAAAAGAAAAAACAAAAAGGCTATCACTTTAAGCTGTTGCTCAAAAAGGAAAAAGAAAAAAAAAGAGGTTATCACTTTAAGCTTTAGCACAAAATTGAATTACTATTACATATTTAATATTTTGTTTTGGAATGATTTTGTGGACAATTAAACCTAGAATACAAGAAGAAACATGAAGACTTAAAGCAACAAGTACGGAAAATGCTTACTGATGCTATCACAATCAAACCTTCAAAGAAATTGCATTTGATAGATGCGATTCAATGCTTGGGCATTGCTTACCATTTTGAGATAGAAATTGACAATGCCTTAGAGAAGATACATCTCATTGATGTTGATCATGTTGAATATGATCTTCATACAACTGCTGTTTGGTTTCGGTTACTTAGACAATAAGGAATCAAAGTTCCATCTGGTTAGTCTTTTTTCTTAACATCCAAAAAATGTTTTAATATCTAAGGCGATGAGAACAAATGGCGAAGGTTTAATTTGCAACAACTGTGAAGCTAAAGGGTTGATCTTCAAAAAAAAAAAAAAGTTTAAAGACAAATTACAACAAACGAATAAGTTTAGGAGCTAATAAGCTCTTTTGGAAAATATCCACAAGGTTACGTACGTCA